ACTACACTGATAGACTGGAATTTTATTAAAACACACCTGGAAAAGTCAGGGAATTTCATTTTCCTGTTTGAGTGGCAACCCTATAATAATTTCATCACTAATACATGATGATGTACCAACTGTAATAACTAAAGCTACCAGTACTAGCTTAAGTTACTGCATTATTGACATTCTGCTTTTGACAGTACTAAATTTAAAAGAAGTCTGCAAAATTGGGGTGGAGGGAATTCACTCAATAGCATTCATACCAAAGTCTGCTCTAAATATAATTTTTTAAAAAAAAGGGGTTGTTAAATATTATACAACAACTGAAGCAATCTAGAAGCTAATTCAGCATGAAGATTCTTTATGTGCATAGAATGTTGATAATAATCGTATATTCTTAGTGGCAACTTAAATAATACACATCACACTCAGCTTGGTACATTTATGGACAATGGAACTAAATGTAGAATCGCAGCACTAATCATAAGACCTGAAATCCACTTGGATTATTTTTTTGTTATTAAAAAAACCTATAATTTTTACAGGATATCTGTTAATTCCTTTATTGAATGGAAATAAAATATGACTGAACAAATTAAAAATAATATTTCTGAAATTCATTTCCATCAAAGCAGTTTTAACTTCAATGAATTGTACAAAGAAATTAATCGCATTATGAGTAAATTCATCGTCACTGTTACAGACAAAACCCACAATAACAATATGATATTTGAGAAGCCTTCTATGAAGGAATATTTAAAAATGAAATAAAGAATGGAATAACACACAAGAAATGGTCTGGCAAATGACAATAACATTTTCAACAAACTTAGTAAAGCTTTCCACAAACAGTGAAATTAATTGCTACAAATTTTGAAAGCATTTCCATATCCTGATCCCATAGTAAAATTTACAAAAGCCTCGTTGAGCTATTTATAGTATTTTCCCCGAAATTAAACCTTATTAGTATTGATTATTGGAAGATTTAAATGCACACATTTCATTAAACTCGATAACAATTTTTAATTACAGATTAATGGTACACCCAATGGGCAGAAACTATTCTATGCCCATTTGCAGATTCTATCTTTTTATTAAAGAGTATAATTACATGCATGAGTATATGTTGGCTATTAACAAACTACACCTTTTGGTGCCAATACTTAGCGGCTTGTAACAGAGTGTTCTTGCATAAATGAAACTATAAATTATAGTGAACCTGCATTTTCTGTAAATAAATTTATCTTTTTATTGCTCTTATGAAGAGTATTTTTTCTTGCCACATGGCTCAATAGAGTTTGTTTTTACTGAAAGTGAATGATTTTGCTTTTCCAAAAACATAAACTGCCAGATTTAATTATCCCCTTAGATACATTTAGGAAATAGTGCTGAGCAATACACTAGAAGATTGCATTATAATCATCTTAAATGTCTGAAGCATAATTAAATGTATCTTAAAAATTGCATTATAATCATCCTAAATGTCTGAAGCATAATGAAATGTATCTTAAAAATATTAGATCGGATTACCGAGCTATCAAAATGATCAATTACAACAACATTTCTTAAACTGTGGGTCGAGATCCCCTAGGGGGTCACCAAAAAATTTAGCATTTTTGATATTTCTTTAACTTATTATAATAGTTTTACAATTACCAAATATTTTTACACCATGTATCTGAAAATAGATATAGATAAGACAATACAGACAAGTATAAGAAAAAAGTTTTGACGCTGTCATTTCGTCTGTTGCTTATTAAAAATTTTCACATTGTTCTATCTCTTAAAATTAGAAATTAAAGTTAATGACCTAAAACTGCAATAGTATATTACAGTACTAGTAAAAAAATTAACAGTTTCACACACGCATGTGTCGGATTTGTGCAGTGCTTATGGGGATCCCATAAAATTTTCGTAAATACTATGGGGTCCTGGGGGTCACAAAAAAATCTCAGTCATAAAATGGTGGTTGCAAAAATGTTGAAGAAACCCTGAATTATAATACACTGTTAGACAAAAAAATAATGATGCACCAAGAAGGAGTTATCCGAATGGGACAAAAATCGGTAGAACTGATGTACTTGTACAGAAAAACAAATAATTACAGTTTGAGAAAAATTGGATGATTTATTGAAGTGAAAAAGTCAGTAATGCGTTTATCCACCTCTGTCCCTTATGCAAGCAGTTATTCGGCTTGGCATTGATTGATAGAGGTTGCGGATGTCCTCCTGAGGGATATCGTGCCAAATTCTCTCCAACTGGCGCGTTAGATCGTCAGCATCTCGAGCTGGTTGGAGGGCCCTGTCTATAATGCTCCAAACATGCTCAATAGGAGAGAGATCCAGTGGTTTTGCTGGCCAAGTGAATGTTCGGCAAGCATTAAGGCAAGCAGTAGAAACATGTGCAGTGTGGGGGTGGGCATTATCTTGCTGAAATGTAAGCCCAGGATGGCGTGACATGAAAGGCATCACAACGGGCCTTAGAACTTCTTCGACGCACTGCTGTGCTATAAGGTTGCGACAGATGACAACCAAAGGGGTCCTACTATGAAATGTGATGGCAGCCCAGACCATCACTCCTGGTTGTCTGCCGGAAGACAGGTTGGTATTGCACTGCTGACCAGGGCATCTCTAGACTTGCCTTCGCTTATCATCGGGGCTCAGTTCAAAGCGGGACTCATCACAGAAGACTATTCTACTCCAATCAGTGACATTTCAGTGCAAATGAGCCTGACACCACTGCAAACGGGCTTGATGTTGTACAGAGCTCAATGGTAGTCTGCGCAATGGGCGCCTTGACCTCAGCCCCCTTTCTGTGAGTCGTCTATGAATGGTCCTTGCGGTTACTGAAGCACTAGTTGCACATACAATCGATAATAATGATGCATCTGGGGCTGTGAGTGCCGCTCTGACGATTGCTCGGTCTTCACGTTCTGTCGCTTCTCTAGGCCTACCACTTCCTTCTTGACACTGTGTTTTTGGCCATGGTTCACCCATTCCTGCCAACAACATCTAATAGTTTCATCGCTCCTGCTCAAGTGTCAAGCTATTCCCTGATAAGACCAACCGGTTTCTTTGAGCCCAACTACACGACCTCTCTCAAATTCTGATATCTGTGCATATCATTCGTGCACCTGTATGCGAGGCATAGTTACAGTGTACCAGAGTACACAGAATGAAATTCGTGAAGAATTTATGACCTGGAATCGTAATTTCTCCTCTTAAATATCCTGCCAGTTGTGCAGAGCAGATGCACTGTAGCGACAACCATTCATTCATTGGCAACCAAAATATAAAATTATGCATTTTCCGTCGAAACCTGTATGCATATCAATTTGTGTCCAATTTGCTTTATATCTTTCTTCTCCATCTTTTTTTTTTTTTTTTTTTTTCTGTCTAAGAGAATATATCACAAATGCTTGAGACCTCAAATTTAATATCATGGTATGCATGTTTTTAATATCAATGTATCTTATAGATTATGTATATTGTTTCCAACATATCTAAAAAGGTAATTGCTAGCACATTTCATAAAATCAGATTGTCAAAATTAAAAACATTTACTGTAGTTTGGAAGAATTTTACATTTAATTATTAAATGACTGCTTAAAATTAAGTAAATTTTGCAGATATTTCGCAAAGTTAATTACCTATTACACTCGTTATGCTAAATATAATTAATTGTATTGATATGTGGACATGTGCACTTAAATGTTTATTGCCACAGGAATGTTAAGACATTTTAAAGAAATTTAGTGTATTTTCTTAGTTTTTAAAACACACATTATCATTTTCCTACTAAAAAAAGGGCCAATTTGTTATTTTGAAATTCCAGTATAGCTTGAGTAGGGAGATTTTTTACTTTATTTGCAAAGATTTCTTTTTATTGTTACATTTTGCACATTTCAAATTAAAATTATTTTTATCTGCAGTTGGATGGCCACAATCACAGATTTCATTTATATTCTAAGCTGTATTGACTGCAAAAATAACTGAAACCTTCTTGTAAATTATCTCCACCAAATACATGCTAATTTTAAGGTTATGCTATAAACTGCATGTCTGGTAATAACTTTTCTTTTTACTTTTATCAAATAGTGTTTATTTAAAAGTTTTAAGTAATTTATTCCAATTGTTTTGTACTTTAATAGTGTTGTTTAACTATTAATATTGAAAATTTCATCCTTTGAATTAATTTTAGACAATTTACTCATTTTGTACTGCATATGTTCTCTCTTAGGTACAGTAAGTCTTGAACTGTTTTCATTATTGTTAAATCCAGTTATTAGCAAAACAGCACATTAACTTACTACTGTCTTCTAGATCATTTCAAAGAGTTTTATCATAAGACAAATTAGAAACCCGTTGCATGATTTGCTGTAGTTTATACCAATTCAAATTGATATACATAAGTAGTACAACTATTCATCACATAATTAATAGCTATGAGTACTATTTGAACAGATTTTCAATCATGGGACAAGGTGATGGACCTTACTTATTCTTTGAGAATAAGTATGATACAAATTATACAATCAGTTACTTTTATCTTCCAGAAATACTGAATGAATCTCATGTAATGAAGAATGTAAAAGAACAGTGGCAGGAAGATTTTTAGAAGTCATCTCAATATACTTGTCGTGATATCAAAGCCCCTTAGAGCAGCTCAGTTGATATAAGAAACTAATTGGAAGGCATAAAATTTCCTGATGTGTACATATATTTTTTCTTTGTTGTAAATACTATTCCCCCCCTTAAACAAATAAATATTAAATTTAGCATGATTTAATGTTATTACATTACAGAGATATCTTAAACCCAGACTTAGTACTAAATATTTATTCTTAATTAGAGAAATAATAAACTTTTTTAGCTAACTTTAAAAATTGTTTAATTCCCTTGTAATATATTTTGCAGTTGACCTTATGCATACTTTTTTCTTCTTTACTGATAAATATTTGCTTTGTTAAACAGAAGTGGAACTTTTCTCTCTTTTTTTTTTTTTTTTTTTTGCAGGAGCGGTGATAAGCCATCACCACCTAAGACATCTAAAGGTGCTAGTGGTAAATCTCACCATAAGTCTTCAAAGCATGCAGATAAATGTAAACATAAGGATCATAGATCAAAACCTGGGCGTGAGAAAGATCACAGAAGGCGGCGGCGTAGTGATGATGAGAAAAGTGAATCTTCAGATAGTCAAAGTTCCATCTCAAGGTAATATATTTATCTTTTAGATTAGGTTTTTTTTAGAAAAAAGAACATGAAAACAGTAACTTTAGTGTGGACAGTAATCACTACCCAAATCTATGATATTCTACCAATGTTTTGGTAGTTTTCAAAGCCTTCAGTCCAGTAACTTGGTGGCGTCGAGTCCAAAAACAGATCAACCTCATTTTCAGACTTTCTGTGCAGAATGGAAGGTAGCAGTTCCAAAATGTAGCTTCAGATTTGAAAAAAAGATAGAAATCTCAAGGAGCAATGTCGGGCTATATGGTGGGTGTGGCAGAAGTTCCTATTCGAGTCCAGCCGGTGAATGCAGACACATGTGGTCTTGCATTATCTTGATGTGATTACCATTTTGCACCGGAACACAGTTCTACATTTTTCCGTAATAGCAGTGTCAACATGGACTCACATCTAGTTGTACACCTTACTGTCATGTGTTTTACCCTTTTCCAGATACTCTTTGTGATAATACCATGGAGGTAGGAAGTTAGATGGAGTTGCCCTAAACAAGTTTCTCCCGTACCCTGCTCTGAAGCACCGGCGATCCCTACGTGGTGACCAAAACATTGGGTCATTTACCATTGAGTTCAATGGGATTTGACGCGTTCGGATGTAAATATTTTGTAATTATGTCGTAAATATACATATAAATGTATATATTTTCTTTTTCTACAACACTTCAGAGTCCTAAGTATGTGAAAAACAACATATTTTTAAACAACATTTATTCTGAACGGAATTAAATGCTATACTTTACACAGGACAGTTTTCTCAGAATGGTTAATTTGAATGAAATATTTTCACAAGTTTTCATTATTACATTAGAAAAAAAAATTAAGGTAATTCGATTTTATTCGGTTAAGGTACAAAAATTAAGATCAAGTTTATTGTATTATTAATATTAAAATTATGCATTATTTTTTTTTATTTATAGAGCTTCCTAAAATACTTTCTTAAATATGATATGATTTTTTGGCTTCTGAGGCATCTTTTAAATTGAAAAATGTAAGTCAATTTATAATTAATGCTCTATTCGGTTCATTTTAAATTAGAGAATTATTAGGAATTATAAAAATTGACTTTCTCTGAACATTTCTGAAAGGGAATAAAATAAGTTATTTTTTTAAGTATTATATAAAACTTGTAACTGAGTTATTATAAAATGTAAAGAGGAATAATTCTTTTAATTATACTTATCAGATTTTTTTTTACTCTTCATTTCAACAATACATATTCCAAAACTTTTATTACATTCTTAAGTGCACATCTCATAGCATTTGCTTTACAATACCTTTTAACAGATTGCTTTCCAATACAAACAATTCTTGCTTAAATAGTTTTATAATGTATTTGTCAACAGGATTTCAATTTATGTTTACAATTCAATATTAAGTTTATTATATATATTTAGATAACTTTATAATCTTTATAAATTAGATACATTTAATAATTAGATTTCTTCACAGTACTTTCACAGTTGTTTATAAGTGAATAAATTCTTCATTTCAAATACATTTATAAATAATTTAATGAATATGTATGTATCCCTCTTCTGTTCCACACATTTGTGTAAAACTGTACATAATTTTACACAAATGTATGGTTCCAAATCGAGGGAAAGCTAACTTGTTGGCATATCTGTGTGTATATTTATTAATTTTGACGAGGATTGCAGCATTTGGCGGTAATTTTATTTTTAATTAACCCAAATAAGTAAAACGTGTAAGCTGAATGTGATTATTTTTCAGATATATAAAATTAAAACGATGGGTTTAAAATGAGCAGCAGTAAAGCCTCTCCTCTAAGAAATTTTAAAAGGTACATGTTACAATAATATATGGATGTGAAAAATAAATTTGTTTTATTTAAAACATTTTGACGTTGGAAAATAAATAAAAGTAGCGAATACTCTATCAAGGGTATCGAAAGACGTATACAATTTTAAATGTACCGTAAGGTATTTTTCATTCTTTAAGCATAACATTTTTCTTAAAATCTATTTTTGTAGTGCAACAGCTTAGAATTTTATAAAACAAATTCATAATCAAAATCGCTGTTGTTAGTTATCGGAAAATAACCAAGATGTGATTTTTGCGTAAATGTCACTAAACTATACAAATTGCTATTATCCATCACACTATGAATGTTTCATGCGAAAGTGTCCCTTTTTCGATTTCTATGGAACTGTCGTGTGTCGAAATACTATCAGAATCTTGTCAAGCGAGCTTCTGAATGTAAACAAAGAACACCCCATCTGGTGACCCAAGCTTAAAAGCAGTGCTTCACTTTCAGTGCGGGTGTGCCCCTCCTCCCTTTCCTACCTCCATGGATAATACCATGGCAATCAATCCCAGCAGATACAAAGCATGATCGTTTTATTAGTCAAATTAAGCAATGTGACACTGCCACCGAGCTCATTGACCAGTTCATCGACTTTTTGCAAGAGAACTGGAAGTAAATGATGGTTCTAATCTGGTAGCGTGATAGTTCCATTTCAGACACCTTCTGCTTGATGAAAACGATATTTTGTTTTTACAAATATCACAACACAGTGTTCTAAAGCAAGTCTTTCTTTCAAATGCCAATCTTTTGACAAAATATGTCAGTGACAAATAGACTACCAAACTGACAATTTGTGCAGATGATTCCAGTAGAGGGAAACTTTTATTAAAACCCAATATTTTGGTAAACGATTGAAGTTTTAGAGTTTTTGATAACTTTGGTGTATTTTATTATGGCAAAGCATGTAGAGGCTATCTGCCTGAGAAGTTTACCTTCATGGAGAACTTTCTGAGTGAAACTGGCTCTTATCCACGTTATGCATGGGGAAAAGCACAGAAATTCCCATGCAACTAGCCCGTTCTCTAGGATTCAAGTATGGAGATGACTTACCATCAGTTTTCAGTGAACAACTTTACTGAGTTGCGTTGGCTTTACTATCTGATGGACCTAGAAGCTTTTGAACAGATCTTGTCAATCAGTTGGTAAAAATATATAAGGGGCTAATTTTTATACAATTTTTTTTTTAATTAAAACTGCTAATGACAAGTTTGAGTTCAATCTTAAACTTTAAATCTGAAAAGTGGATTTAAAAACTTAAAATGTGTTTTGAAACAATGAAATTTTCATGGCATACAGATAACAATACATATTTATAAAGATAGATTTCTATATATTTGAGACCAGTGTTTAAGAATCCTCCTCTAATTGATATTTCTAGTTCTACTGAATTCTATGTTTGTTAAATATCTTTAGATCTACTCTAATTTTTTTTTTCTTTTGAAGCATATGTTTGTATGAAAATGTGATACAATTTTGAACTCATTGATGATGAATTCAAAACTGCACAGCTCTTTTGTGCTGAAACTTTTTCTAATTAATGCACTTTTGTTCATATTTATATAAGGAATATATCAGTGTCAAGCAGAAAAACTTGCTACTGTGTTTATGGCATCATCTCATTATATGCATTTAAATATTAATATAAAATTAGTAACAGCATCTGTTAGTAAATATTTCATTCCAAAAACAATGCAACTGTGCGGCAATTGTCCTGCTGCATAGGATTCACCGTAACGCAAGGATGCAGCATTGGGCTCTGAAGGGCATCTAGCTCTGATGCATATTTGTGGCGTTCATCCCGAATGGGATAACTGGCCTGGATTGTATCAATCAGTATGCAAAAACTATTATGATCAGGTAAGCGCATAGAAAACTACCTAATACCACATTTTGTTGGCATCAGAATTGTTTTTTAAATTTCAAGTTGAACCAACTTCAGCTTAGCACTAAGATAGGTAATTGCACAATGCTCAGAGGTATTTTTGTTACTATATCGTAATATGCGTACATTGCTGGAAATGTACACTCACTTCCAAAAGTTAATAGAAATGAAAACAATATTAAATTTTTGTAAGTTATCAGATAATGACATACTGGACACTTAAACAGAATTATGTATAAAGTGAAAATAAACAGCATAAAATGAAAAAAAGGACATTAATAGGGTATGTGATACCCCCTCATCTGTATACAAAGTTTACACCTTGTGACCATGCTTTCAATTAGGTGGTCAACCACCGCAGAATTAAGCAATCGCCATTCTTCTTGTAGAGCGGTTTCTAGCTCAATAAGAGTGGCTGGCGGTGGAAAATGTGAAGATACAGCACGGCCGAGAGCATCCCAAAGATTTTCAATTTGATTAAGTTTGGGCGAATATGCTGGCCACGCCATATGCACAGTCCCTTCACTCTCCAGGTAGTCATCGATGATGTCAGCTCTATGGGAACATGCATTATGGTCCATTAAAACAAAAGTAGGGCCAACTGCAGCAGTGTGCAATCTCACAATGGGTTCTAGGACTTCATCTCAATACCGGACAGCCGTCAAAGAACCCCGTTTAAATGTGCAGGTCGGTGCGGTATCCTAATGAAATCCCTGCCCACACCGTAATGCTTCCGCCTCAGAATGTGTGATGTTTTGGGACTGATTGCGTGTTCGTTGCTCACGCCATATCCTTATACACTTGTCATCTGGCTCCAGAGCAAATCTTGACTCATCAATAATGACATTGCCCCAGTCAGACACATTCCAATTAACATGGCCCACCAGCAGCAGAGCAGTAAAGTCGCTGAACACTGGTAGTTCGGTCCGAGGTTCGAATCCCGCAAACGGGCTGGCTGCATGTTCATTTTCGTGGTTTTTCCCATGCATAACGTGTATACGAACCAGTTTCCCTTAGAAAGTCCTCCACGAAGGCATCCCTAGTGTGCTTTGCTGTAATCTCAATAAACCAAACCAAACAAATTAACATGTTCCCGGCACCGCTGTAATCGTGCCTCTCTTGATTGGATGAATAGCGGAACACAAACTCGAGGTACCCGAGCTTACAGTCCACTCGTATGTAATCTTCGGTGTACAGTAGCTGCAGATTTCGCCTTACCAATGGACGCTGTAACCATAGATGTCACACTTGTGGAGGTTGCTCT